GAACCTCTGTCAGGTTTTTGTCATCTTTGCCCCTGTTGTAAACATCTCCTTGTGTGTTCATGTGTCCCTTTTCAGCTGCTTATTGCTTTGCCAGCTCTGTCAGCATGGGCAAAAACATCCACAGCTGATGCTATAGGAAAGGCTGCTGTTTGAAACCACAGGGCCCCATACAGCTAACCTGACAGGGCCCCAGGAAGAAAAAAAAAACATAGTTTACTATGCTTCAGTTATGAATGAACACAGTGAGAGATCAGTGCCAATCACTCAATTGCATTATATCAGGAAAAGAAGGGGCTGGTTAATGTGACATATTTATCAGACCCTTCCCCCACTCTCCATCCTGAAGGATTCTATTGTGTGCTTGCAGCTGCTGGAGGGAAGGATAGGAGAGCAGCCGGCATTGTGGGGGTCCAGGCAGCAGGGTGAATCAGATATGTACAGGGAGGGTGATCAGCATGGTGGGTGGCAATTACTGGAATTGGTTCCCTGTATGACTCACTCTACAGCAGCTGAAAAACAGCAGGAAGGAGAGGAGAAGAATCCAGTTTTCAGATGTCACAGAGAGACATACAGGGCATTGGCTCCATTAATTTCCCCCCCCCCAACCATGCCGATCACCTTCTCTGCCCACATCCAATTCACCCAGCTGCCTGGGCCCCTCTGCTGGCCTGGGCCCCATACAGGAGGACTGGTGGTACCCCCTTATCCACAGCCCCGGCTATAGGTCACATGAGATAATGGATGTTTGTTTTTCCAGTCACTGTTCCAACTCCCAATGAAGTGGGCTCTTTCAAAGATAGTTTCAGTTACCTAAGAGGGAGCAGGTATAATGACTATCGCTCATTAGGCCAAAGTGGCCCGGTTTGCCATATAGGTCTTCTCCTTTCTATCCATCAGCATGCTAATTATTTTCAAATATATCTGCCACCTTTCTGACTTACTGATGTTGATTCTGATTTAGCTTATTCCCACAAAACATTATTTCAACAAATAGCTGGTGCTATGCCCATACTGGGTGTTTCCACAAAGCTGGAACTACAGAGGAAATGGATGCAAAAGCAGAACATTCTGCATCCATGGTGTGTGCTTGATCTACTCCTAGGGGGCGAGTCCTCTGGCTGTGAATAAATAGTCCAGGGCAGCCTATTCTGTTTAGTATGAAGAAATGCAATGCTCAGTGCACACCGTCCCACCTGGCAGTTTACATGCACTAAGTAGAGGTCAGAAAGATCTGCCAATTGCTTGCTTTTGCAGCCCATAGAAGTGCAACCTTAATGCTGCTGGTACACCAAAGAAAACAACATTCTGTTAGCTTACACACCCAGTATCATCAGTAGAACGCCCCACAAATGGAGTAATTCAAAAATAATAAAATAATTAAGCAATACTCTTAACCAAAATGTTTTTTGTTGCCTAAAATATTTTAATCTGAACAGTTTTCTATAACAAGTTAGGTCAAATCAAGTTCTCAAGTCAGAAAAGGCCAAGATGTCTGAGGGAAGACATTTTTTGGTTGGGTTAGTGTTGTCAACTAATTAGAACTAGACAAATGCAAGAATGTGAACTATTATGATATTTAAATATTTTGGGGACGATTCTTGAGAGCTGCTTCCCATGAACTGTATGATAACTGGCTAACTGGTTTCAAACACATCATAGTCCAAAATGTTTAGGCGCTAATCCAAAGCAGCAACAGCAATGTGTCCTTAATAATTACTTCACCCAATCAGCTTCACAGGAAAAACACTAGGAGTGGTGCAAAGAAAGACTTAGTCTAAAATCCAGGTCATAAGTGCTCAGGGGTACTCTTACAGAATGTAATGTCACAGTAATCAATGTGATCCAAGCCATACTACTGTGACACAAATGTTCTTTTAAAAACAGGTAACAGTTTATTATAAGCTTGAACAGTGTCTGTGTATAACACCATATGTGGGAAGCATTAAAAAGCATACTATGCCAGTAAGAAATAGTATGAAAGTATCATCCAGAAAGGACTGCTTACTTGGCCCAGAGATGGTAGTAGCGTGCCCGTGATGCGGTGACAAGAAACAGTAACTGGTAACGCAATGGGCTGAAAGGTGATGTAATGATGTCAGGGTATAGAATGCAGCACTTTCATCTGCGACATTCAGATGGTAGAGTCAGAATTTGGCGTAAATAACATAAAAGCATGGATCCATCCTGCCTTGTATCCACCGTTCATGCTCCTACTGCTGGTGGTGGGTGGTAGTGTAATGGCGTGGGGGATATTTTCTTTGCACTAGCAAAGTATACCTAACAAAGTGGCTGGTGAGTATAAATACAAAATTCATTCATTTAAATAACATGGGGAATGCTTTTAACTTGCCTGGGAAGTGGTGCTCCTGTAATGTATATTGCCTACCAAAGCAAAACTGACATTTACAAAGAAAAAATGCCATTTAAATTGCAGGTAAATGACAGCTCCTGGCTGCTTTATTCTGATTGTAAACAAAGTGGCCAAGAATTCCCTTTATCTATACCATACTTAGATGAGGGTCTGTTTATGGGGGACCCCACACAATAAATGGAAAAATAGCATAAATTGCCCTTTAAAAAATACATACCAGATATTTGTCCTTGAACAGAGTCTGGTATGGATGTCAACGGGGCCCTATGCAAAAAAAAAAAAGTAACTTCCCCCATGGTAAAGGATACATTTACCTTTATAAAAAAAAAATAATGTACATTTTTGTGCAGGTAAAGAAAATGTGAATTATTTATTTAATTTTTAGGAGCCTGGAAAGCATTGAAATTCAGGGCTCCTGCAGACTGTCAGTGTATCTATTTGCTCGTACCTCATACAGACAGGCAGTTACGCAATGTCAGAAAGACTCGGTGAACTACCTAGAGTGTTCACTAGTGCCCTGGTAATTCATTGAGAACTACAAGCCATCAGTCGCAAGGACTATGGTACTTGTAGTTCATTAATTCACAAAACTCTGTGAATGAATGATGTAACCATGTTGGCAGAACACTGCACAACTACTTTCTTTTCAAATTGTGACAGTGGATGTGGGGAGAAGATTCCCATCCTGTCACAATTAGCAGGGCGATCAGGGGAGGCTGCAGAAACAGTGACATGTTCCCAAAGGAGAATTTATCCTTTAATGAGGACAAGGGTTTCTGCACAACCCTGCGCTGATGGGTGTGGGGGGCAACAAGCTTATCAAAATCTAAAAGTCCCTTTTAAAAATAAGGGGTGTCACAAATACTGCCTTATGTGAATGAGTAAGCGGTACACAGTACCCCTACTTATGAACAAAAAAGAGTAGTTAACACACAATTTGAGAAGCAATTTATTAATACGTTTAACCACATGAGCTCCAGTAGGTTTTATCCCCTTCCAGACCAGACCAGGCCATTTTTTACAGCTTGGCACTATGCTACATTAACTGGCGACTGCACAGTCATGCAATGCTGTATGCAAACAAAAACTTCTATCATTTATTTTCACACAAACAGAGCTTTCTTTTGGTGGTATTTGATCACCCCTGGGTTTTTAATTCTTTGCCATATAAACAAAAAAAGACTGAAAATGTTTCTACTTTCTGCGATAAAACATATCCAATAAATAAATTGTTCAAAATGTCTTCATAACTGTTGGCCAAAATGTATTCTGCTACATGTCTTTGGTAAAAGAAAATCCCAATAGTGTATATTGATTGGTCTGTGTGAAAGTCATAGCGTCTACAAACTATGTGATATATATTGGAATATTTATTTATTTATTTTATACTATAGTAATGATTATAGTAATAATTTATTTATTTATTATAGTAATGGCAGCAATCGGCGACTTTTAGCAGGACTATGAAAGTCCCAGCCATTAATCATTGGCCAGGGCGGGGTGTGCGCCCCCTACCTGGAAGAGTTGGATCATGTATTAGATACATAGATATGTAAAGGCCATTGAACAAATATGGCCCATGGACCAATAGCCAAGTCAGACATTGATCTCCATCTTATTTTGTTTACATTTCAGCTGGCAGCAAGGAATGCCCAGCTGACAGCTGAATGAGCTCTGAAGATGAGTTATGGTTGTTAAGAGGCCTGCAGCCCTGGCTCTCTGACATTCATGGTTCCCTAACAACTAGGTGCTCTGCTAATGCTGTCATATTTAGGATTGGTATTAATACCACTACTAAATATGATTTCCCAGCACAGCCAGAAGTTTGGGGCTCAGGGTATAGCTGAACATACCATTAGTTTGCCCATCTCTGGTGATTGGTCCTTTGCCTTCTGCTTGCCTTTTCTGGGCACAGCTTTAAAGTTCAGTTCCTATTTTAGATAAAGGGAAAGATTAAGATTGAATATTTAAATTCTTACATCCAGTTTAATCATGCTCTGGAAGCCTTGGAGAAGAGCAATTTAAAGGATAAGTTCACCTTTAGAACATGTTACACCTGTATTTAGGATGTAAGATGTAGCATGTTCTAGCATTGACCCCCCCTCCCCAATACACCCCCTGAGATCCCCCATTTTTTGTTGTTTTTTTTCTGTCGGTTGAACTGGATGGACTTTTTTCAACTAAATTACCCACTTGCCCTCCAGAGGATTTACCCCCCTTCCTCACCAGACCATTTTTTGTGATTGTGTTACTTTAACTGACAATTGCGCAGTCATGCAACGCTGCACCCAAATGAAACTTACGTCCTTTTTTTCCCCACAAATAGAGCTTTTGGTGGTATTTGATCTCCTGTGCGGTTTATATTTTTTGCACTATGAACAAAAAAATGTTGAAAAAAAACTATATTTTTGAATTTTTGCTATTAAACATATCCAGTAAATAATTTTAAAAAATCAAATTTCGTCAAAAATTTAGGCCAAAATGTATTCTGTTTCATGTCTTTGCTGAAAAAAAATTCCAATACCTGTAAATTAATTGGTTTATTGGTTTATGTGAAAGTTATAGGTCTACAAATGGTGGTATATATGCTGGAATTTTTTTTTTACTAGTAATGGTGGCAATCAGCAGCTTATAGCGGGACTGCGGGGGGCATTCTGACACCGGGGGGCAACTGACTTGGTGTCACTGACATCCCCAGTGACACCAGTACAGTGATTAGGGCTACTAAAAAGCACTGACACCGTACTAATGGCACTGAGCAGGAAGGGATTAACATCTGGGGTGATGTGGGCTGTGTGGGCTTTACATTGTAAGCTCACTGCCTTGTATGGCTCTGCATAGCAGAGCCATACACAGTGTGCGGGAGCTGACAGGGGAGAGATCTGTATTGTTTACATACAGGTCTCTCCCCCATCGGTAATAATCGGAGATCACTGTGTACCAGCGGGGAACTACTGGCTGGGACCCAGTGATTGACAGCCAAGGCCGCGAATGGTGGCACAGGTACGGTGTGCACACCCCCTACCTGGAACTGCAAAATTATATATATATATATGTTCACAAGTGATTTTGTGCACCCGTGCCATCCTGTAGCAGTAGCTATAGGGCTGCGCGAAAGCTGTTAATGATGTGACAGTGGGTGGGGGTTCATCTACCGTGCAGCACCTGTCACATCTGTGCAGCATCACATTTAAAATCCTTGCAGCTGTGCAGGGATCTGTGAATGAAAAAACTACACAACTGCGGCAGGTGGGACTTAATGGACTGCAAGTGTGCTCTTAGGCCACTAGCAATATATATTTATATGTGTCAATGGACACACAGAGCCGACTTGGGAGAGAGTAAGCACGAGTGTCCCCATACCAAGCAGCTTGCTATGGTGGACACTTAGCAGGGGGGGTGGGGGCCCGAAAAGAAGAGGATTGGGGCTGTTTTGTGCAAAACCATTGCACAAAGCAGGTACGTATAAAATGTTTGTTTAAAAAAAAAAAAAGTCTATCCTTTACAATCAGTTTAAAGGTTTAGAGTCATATAACATATTTGATAGTAAATATATATAATATACCTTGTTAAATGCAGGTCTTTACATCAGAACAAAAAAAAAGGAGAAAAAGGGAAAGTGAGATTTGATTCCAAAAGAGGAACACTCCCTCCAAATAAAGAATCATTGGGAAGTGGGAAATTTACAAATGTTCTGTAAACTGAAATATTGTGATTTTACAGATTAATTAAAACTCATAAAATGAATCTCCTTTATGAATTATAAGGTAAAGAATTAGCAAACATATGCATTATGCAAAATTTATTTAGTATTAGTCAAAGTTTAAGAAACAACGAGCTGAAAGTGATACTGTCAGCTTTTACATTTCTTAACATAAGTCCTGCCAGCAAAGAAAGAATTCATATCTTCCACTGCCTACACCACCAAAGCCTGCTTTCCTCAGAAGCTCCACTGGATAAAAGACCTTCAGCGACTGGACACACTCCTGAGATTGTCGGATTCCTGGTCATCCGCCAGGCGCTGTGTCGTGTAATGACATAGGGGTCGACGGAAGAAATCCCAAAGCGCTGAGTGGGAACAGGCAAACAGGCATCTGACACTCTAGATGCTGAAGATTTTTCAGACAGCAGTCACTTTCGGCAGATTGCAGTTTTTCCAAGCTTTTTCTCCAATAGTTCTAACAAGTCATGTTCTCTATATGTTCAGCACAGTCAGTAATCAGTAACATTTCTAAAGAATCTCGTTATTTTTTTAACCATTGATTTTGGGAAGAAAAAGAAAGTGTGTTAGCGGTATCTAAGGACAGGTATGGATCACTTTTTTAAACTTTCTGACACCAAATCACCTTAGTTTATTGTCCAGTATAAAAGAAGCTTTGTCCAGAAAATTGAATTATTTGACTGGATTTTATCATATATTTCAGAATTATTCATTCATTCAGTGGTGTGTTAACCCTGTAACCTGGTGGAGCAGCCCTGTGTTATATAAGGGTTTAGGTTTTAGTGAAAGGATCACACAATAAAAAGCGCAGTACTGTGGGTCACATTATATCGGGATTATTATTTCTTCAACAATGCAGTTCACATTCTCTTGCTCACATGAACTGTTCTCATAAAACTGCCAGCCCGCCCTCTCCTTTTCTTTCTCAGCGACTCCTTACTCCTTCACATCATTAGAATCTCATTTAGTGTTCATTATAACCATGTTAATCATGTTGAACTAATGTGCTGCTAAAGTAGCACTTTTCCCAGAATTCTGTTATAATTTACCTATTCAGTAATGTACCTTCCATTATTTTAAAATGTTACCATAAAATGCAGGCGAGCTAAGACATCAGTTCATTTTCAATAGTTTTGAATATGTTAAAGCTGTAGATAGTGGGAGGATAATACACATAGAACCACATTAAAAATTCTCTAGTATTCTCCAGTATGAGAAAGATAGTAAAAAAGTCTTCATAACATACTGGCTTATATATCAATGTGTCATAAACAAGAACTTTCTGCACTGCCCCATAGCCACCAGTCATGCTCAAATCAGCAATAGAAAAGAACAGTTGGGCTGTGAAACTTTATGGTTTATATAGATCAATGACAGACTGACACTATCTGTAGGTGTGATTGGAGTGATTGATTACACATGGGTGTGTGCCCATGGACAAGAACTGTCTGTGCACAGCCATGAACAGTGTCAGCTTGTCATTGATTTGCACAGACTTCCTGTCCATGTCTGATTGGAAAACACCTGGCTGCACCTGCAACAGAAATACTCTGATATGGGTGATGCAAGGACCTAATCACCCGTGTGCATGGGCTCTTGGCGCCAGCGCCTCCCGGCCCTTTAAGGGTTTCAGAAGCAGGGCAGGGTTTTAGGTTCTTGACTTACAGAGGGACTGTGGCAGGCATTCTGACACTGGAGGGGAACTGACTGTCACCGACATCCCCAGTGACACTTATACAGTGATCAGTGCTAATAAAAAGCACTGACACTGTATTATTATTATACAGGATTTATATAGCGCCAACAGTTTGCTCAGCACTTTACAATGTAAACCAATGATACTGGGCAGGAAGGCGTTAATATCTGGGGCGATCAAAGGGTTAACTGTGTTCTGTGTTTTACTAGGGAGGCATGCTATTTTGTATTGCTCTGCTATGCAGAGCAATACAAAGTAGCCTGCTGGTGCTGACAAAGGAGAGCTTTGTATTGTTTACATACAGACCTCTCCCCCGTCAGTATTTTTCGGCGATCGCCGGGTGCCGGTGGTGAATCTGCTGCCTAGACCCAGTGATCGCCAGCTGTAGCCTCTGGGACCTGGTGATTGACAGCTATATTTCCCTACCCAGAAATACAAAATCACGTATATATACATGATTTTGTTCAGCCCTGCCGCCATGTAGCAGTAGTTCTTATATACGGTGGTCGGGAAGTGGTTAAAATTGCACATACCCCTGGAATGGCGCCAAACTACGGTTAAACCCAAAAACAAAAATTGAATACATTGCCGATTACTATTCTTTAAGCCCTGGTTCACAGCGATGCAGTGTGGGACATCGCATGTGATTTGCACAGGAACCAAACCGCATTCCTGTGCAAAATCACATGCAATGTCTGTGTGGTGCGATTTGAGCCATACATTTTGTATGACTTAAATCGCATCCGCTCCAAAAAGGTGAAGGACCCTTGATTCCTGTGTTCACATCCATGTGATGCGAATTCTGGTAATCGCACTGCATTTTGCAATCTGTTTCGGGGTGTTGTTAATTTAACATTGACACCCATACCAGACCATATGGACACCGTGTGATTGCAATGCGGTGCGAGAAACGTACAGGATTCACTGCGTTTACCACATCACATTAGTGTGAACCAGGGCTTAAGTAATTGTAAACCCTCACCCTTGTAAAACAACTCATTCAGTTTAAAATAGAAATGTGTATAGAAAGAAATAATAATAATAAAAAAACATTATAAATACCTTTTTTATCCCTTTTTTAAAAGTGATCACATACCCTTTGTCCTCAGGTGCATAAGGAGCTCAGGGAGGAGAAACAGCAGCACACTGAACTTCCCAGTGAGTGGCTCTACAGGGGGGTTGTCGGACAAGTTTGACCATTGAAGGAGAGCAGGCTGAGTTCCCAGTACAGTTAGAGAACTGACAATGCTGTGCCTAGTGTGGTTTGTTTTTAATAGAAAAGCAGAGGGGCTGGCAGGAACACCAGGGATTTCACACAAAGGAAGCAATACAAAGAGAACAGGATACTGTTTCATACTTTTACAAGTACATGGTACAACAGACACATATCAGGAATATGAAATGTTGGGTTTACATATTCTTTAATTCCTTAAATGTGGTGGTTGCATTAGCTTTTCTGTTTTTCTGTTATTTTTTTTATTTATTTTCACCTGATGATCCAGCTAGTAACACAATTCCTGTTTTAGGGCTACTGCTCCTGTGGAGAAGCAATGAAGACATACGTGGACAACAGCACTGTCTGGAAAGGGTAGTGCTAGATGGATTGGTAGATTAAGCCCTGGTTCACACTGTTGTGACTTCTCATGCAACTTGCCTGGAACAAAAAAAAACATAGTTCCTGCACTAATTTTCTGAGTCTTCCTTGCAACATGACTGTCATAGACTGCAATGTTAAAAATACCAAATGTCGCAAGGACGTTGTTCGTTTGCCTAATATTTGAGACTTTGGCTGTGACTTCAGAGGGTTTTGTAAGTTTGATAATACTGTATGCGTCACCCTCTGTATTGTTATGAATAAATAAAGCCAAAGTCAAAAACATCAAAGTTGCAGGAAAGTTGCACTGGAGTCACACCAAGCCTCAAGCAAGTCACACTGGAAATCGCATGACTTTGGGGTTGCAGCAGTATGAACCAAGCCTTAGATGGACTTTAAATAGGTGACTAACAAGTTAAAGCCAAACTCCAGTTAACACTTTTTTTAAAGCATAACTAAGGGCATTCTTTTAAAACTTTGGATAGAGTAGAGAGGGATTACTACACCTGCCAGGTGTTTATTACTGCGTGTACCTCAGTTATGGAGATTCACTTTCTCAATTTGACCCTGCCTACCATTATTATCAAAAGTGAAATGAAGTATAATATTTTGGCTTGTCATTAAAAGGAACAGAGCAGAAATCTTCCAATGGAGATACTATTTTTGGTGACCTTGGTGACATCCAAACCAATCAAGATATTCCCTAGCACTCTATGGATCTTCAAAGAACATCCAAATGTTTTTATGCAAAGTGATCAAAAGCACGGCGGAAGAGTATAAGACGTTTTCGTCTTGTGTGGCTCGAAAACATTGCACTCAAACATTGCGATGTAATCACTTTGAGTAAAAAATTTGAGTCGTCTTTTAAAGATCCATGGTATGTTGGTGAATGTGTACTTTGATCTATGATGTTACCAGTTTCTAGCTGACTGTTGCTGCAGACCTCATGTATCTCTCAGCCCACTCCAGGGAGATGTGCAATTCATCTCTTCTCAGTAGAAGTGGTATTGTCTTTAAGGCCTCTATTCTAAAAATAATATACAGTAACTATCTTCCTAATGAATTTAGATACTTGTGTATTAACCCTTTTACTGTCAAGAACATGAGGCTTGCCGCTTGGCTGGCTCAATAAGTCTTAAGTCCTGTGCACTTCCTTCTCCCTTCAGTGACCATGAACTTTGTAATAGTAGGGTGCTCTAGACTCTTAACACTAATGGTTAGCTGCGATCAGCAGCTAGCAAGTTGCGGATTTCAACCATTGATTAAAAATCTGTTTACCTCTCCATGTACTTGCACTGTGCCTGACTGAGCCCTGGCATTCACCTCCCCATCTTATTTCCCCCCTCCCCACTGCCTTCCCCACAGCTGTACTAGCAGAGACTGAGGGGAGAAAATAGCATCAACCATCATGGAGGTTCTGAGCTACTCAGGATGGCATTTGGGGGGTCAGTTAATGGGTGTCCCATAATTAGTGATCCTTCGCTAATATGAATGAACATCGGAGTAAGAGGCCTGAGGAAGAGGCAAGTCTTCGAAACGCGTCAGCCTATTGGATGTCTACACTCCCTATTGCAGACTGTTACTCAGTGCGGTGTTGACCAAGCTGTTCTTTTATGACGTGCATTGACTTTATTGTCATTTGTGAGTACAACACCTACTTTATTTCTTATTAAACATTTTTTATGGTAATGCACTAGGCCTGTGCGCCCTCTGTTTGTTCTTTCCTCATTCAGAACATGTTACATGTTCCACCCTAAAAACAAGTGGAAAATGTAACATGTCCTGGAAGAACTTATCTTTTCATTAATTAGGCTTGGTCCTTAACCGCCTCCCGCCCACCATATAAAGAAATGACGGGCTCAAGGTGGTTCTCTCGTTCTGGGACGTCATATGATATCCTCCCACTCTAACTGCGCATGCGCCCTCGGGGGGCACGCAGCACGGCGATCAGTGGTGCTCTGTGTCCCTGGGACACAGCGAATCACCGATCAATAGAAAGAGCTGAAGACGTCAGCTCTGTCATGTGATCAGCTATGTCCAATCGCAGCTGATCGCATGTAAATAAGGAAATGCCGGTTATCAGCATTTCTGTCCTCACGAGCGGTCACGCTGACAGCTCATGAGGAGAGACGGTAATCGGCATTACTCAGTGGGGACATCTATACTGATCATCAGGGCACTGATGATCAGTGTAGCCCCATCAGTGCCACCTGTCAGTGTCCATCAATGCCACCTGTCAGTGCTCATCAGTGCCACACCAATGCCATATATCAGTGCCTACCAGTGCCACCTATCAGTGCTGCCAATCAGTGTCACCTATCACTGCCAGTCAATGCCGCCTGTCAGTGCCGCTTGTCAGTGCCGCCTATCAGTGCGCATCAGTGCTGCCTATCAGTGCCACCTAACACTTCCAGTCAGTGCCACCTATCAGTGCGCCTATCAGTGCCATATATGAGTGCTTCTTTCAGTGCCCATCAGTGATGCCTGTCAATGCCCATCAGTGCCACCTACCAGTGCCTCCTTATCAGTGCTGCCTATCTGTGCCCATCAGTGCAGCCTATCAGTGCCCATCACTGCAGCCTCATTAGCGCACATCAGTGGAGAAAAATCACTTATTTACAAAATGTTATAACAGAAACCAAGAAAAAACTTTTTTTTTGAAAATTTTCAATTGTTTTTGGTTTGTTTAGCAAAAAAAAAAAAAACCCAGAGGTGATTAAATACCACCAAAAGCAAGCTCTATCTGTCTAAAAAAAGTCTAAAAATTTCATATGGGTACAGTGTTGCATGACTTTTAAAAAATGAACAATTACCTGTCCTTCAATCCCAAGATTTTGGGCACCAGTGCCACCCTGTAGCTGCTGACTTTTTTTTTTTTTTTTTCACTGGAACTCCGCTTTAAACTCAAATTTGAAAACAAGAATATAACTAAGTAGATTGTAGGAAAGAGAAAATAAAGGAATAGAAAGGAATAAAATAGAAAATAGTAGAGTAAAAAAGAAAAGAGGAAAAATAAAATAAAAAATAAATAAAATTGAATGAAAAAGAAAAGAATACAGTATAATCTCATAAAATAGGAAAGAATAGAATCAATATTTTATAAGAAAACAGAAAATCAAAGAATCGAATAGAAAAGATTAGAATAGAATAGAAAATCAAAGAACTGTCACTGTACAAGCACCCCATCAACATTTGTCACAGTGTACCCGTGCACAAAAAACATCACCAACAGTGCACAAGAACACCTGTCACAGAGCACCAAAAAACCACTGTAAAAGTGTACTAGTGCACAACAACCATTGTACTACTAATGTCCTATCAACTTCCTTTTTGTTTTCTAAAAGATTCTGATTGAACTCAAAATTCTAATTTTTAATCCCCCTGATTTAATTTGGCTATACATGTGTAGATTTCCGGCCGTGAGTATACGTAAGAAAAGTCGTATGGAAATTCTTTGCACATTCGATGAATGGATGAATGTCGTTCAAAAATTGTCTTTTGCTTTTTTTTTTTTAATTTTAAAAGGAATGTAATTTCTGAACGATAACCACATGCACTAGCCGAAAATGTGTTTGATCAAGAAAAATGTTCCTTCCTGCCCCTTCAAATTTTTCCAGTCACTGCTGTTGAAAACAAACATCGATTTGACCCCCACTAATGATTAGAAAATCAAACGAATATTCTTGTAGCGAAAATTCTCGAAAGAAAATCTATACATGTATGGCCAGCTTAACGATTAGAAAATCAAATGCATGTTCTTCAAACGAATATTCTTGGTTGAAAATCTACACATGTACGGCCAGCCTTATTCACCCTGAGGTCATCACATAGGACAAGGGGGCACTCTTTACGTTTGGAGGAAAAGAGATTTAATTTTCAAAACACGGAAAGGTTTCTTCACAGTAAGAGCTGTGAAAATGTGGAATAGACTCCCTCAAGAGTTGATTCTGGCCAGCTCAGTGGATTGCTTTAAAAAAGTCCTGGATTCTTTCCTAGATACACAGAATATAACTGTATACTAACATTTATAGGTAAAGTTGATCCAGGGAATATCAGATTTTCTCTCGTGGGTTCAGGAAGGGATTTTTTTTCCCCTGCAGGAGCAAATTGGATCAGGCTTTGCTGGGTTTTTTGCCATCCTCTGGGTCAACTGTGGGTATAGGATTAGAACTTTTGTTTTTATGGTTGAACTAGATGGATTTTTGTCTTTTTTCAGCCAGACCAGCTGTGTAACATTCTAAAAGTAATAGGTAGACTCTGGAATTCTTCATGCTTTCTTTTCCCTACCTGCTGACTGTTATTTGTCATTTGTAAATCACTGATATATTAATGAGCTAAACATTATTGAGAATTGTGATATATGTTTACCAACTGGACTGAACAAGTCCATAAGAAACGAAACGTTCTATAATGTAAGAAATATGTACTATTTCTCCTGAAAATGTGTTCCCCCCCCCCCCCCACCCCCCCCCCCCCCCCCCCCCCCCAAACCCCCCGCCAGACCCCCCCCCCCCCCCCCCACCCCCCCCCCTCCCCCGTGCATGTTAACACTCTTGACTTCAATATGTTTTGTTTGTTCTCAATGCTATTACATTAAAAATGTATTCACAGAAAAAATACTAAAATTGCAGCACCTAACCCTGTCTGAATACCAGACCACAGCATAAAACATATATAAAACAGGTGTATATGTCCCTTTAAATCAATAGTGTAAACAAAAAATTGAATCTATCTCTACAATTCATCCCAAAAAATCCAATAACCATAAATGTACAAAACTAACTAAATAAAACAAAGTCCACAATTCATATACCATTTCATCTCACGTCATGTTGCTACAGAAAAGTATTTTCATGGCCAAGAATTTTTCTTTTCTTTCTAGGTCAGCTCATGCTCATTTCTTTTTCGGTTACATTTCTTACACAATTCTCTCATCATGGATTAGAAATTTGTTAGTTTTTCAAAATATTTCCAACATGCCTAATCACTTAAATTTCGATAGTCGCTCCAAAAATTGACCATTGCTGTGACCCACTAATGGTGCAAAATTTGAACTAAAATTCTTAGAAAAGATTTTTGAAAGAAAATTCTTTTGGAATTCGACCCGTGTATGGCTGGCTTAAGATCCCAGCAAAAACAGATCAAATATGCTTTGGCTGCAACAGAACATAGAACTCCAATGGCTGACTCAAAAAAAAGAGTGTGTAGGGTTTTGGTTTGCAGGGCATTGTTTGTATGAATGAGTGCAAACTATGGACTTTGTTTTATTTATTATTTATTATTATTATACAGGATTTATATAGCATCAACAAATTGCTCAGCGCTTTAAAATATAAATGGAGACAATACAGCAACAATACAGTTCAATACAAGAGGGTTAGGAGGGCCCTGCTCTTTGGAGCTTACAATCTAAGAGGGAGGGGCTGTTGGTGCACAAGATAACTGTGAGGGAGGAACTGATAGGAGAAATAGAAGATACGGTTATTAGCTGAAGGCAGAAAAGGCTTTCCTGAAGAGATAGGTTTTCAGAGATCACCTAAAAGTGGGCAGAGTAGGTGATAGTCGGATAGATTGAGGTAGAGAGTTCCAGAGGATGAGAGAGGCTCTGGAGAAGTCCTGGAGACAAGCATGAGATATTTATTAGGTATATTTATGGTTATCATGTTTTTTTATGTGTGTGGGCTTCAGTCAATGAGAAATTATGGATTTAACACATATAGGTGCGAAACTAAGCCTGTGAAGTCATCCCATGTCCATATTGAATGGGGATTGTTGCATGGTGAAGACTGGCACAGAGCCATATATGTTTATATTAGCACTATTGATAGCACTTGATGTGCTCTTATTCTGTGTTTTTAATCCTTTTTAGCCTTAGTAAACATTATATACAGAGAAAATTATTGGTCCTCTTTTTGCTTTTTACATGTTTTGTTAGTTAAATGGTATATGAAGTGGGGAGAAACTGAGTGCTGTGCATCTAGCACTGGCAACAACCCTGAAGGGGCTACTAAGTGATGTTTGGTCTCATTATTCATTTAGAAGTCAAACCTGGAGGTGAGCATTTAATTGCTTCACTTGGCATTCATGGCACAATAGTGATATTTTGAATATTTCTGGCACATCTGACACAATGGTGACTGGCGGCACTACCAGAAGATTATATATAATTATTATTTGGACATTTTATATTATTTGCGAATAATTTAGTATAAGTTGTGTTACACCAATATTTTACACTTGTTTGATGCTGGAGGTGTAGTGAGATCACTCCGGTGATTCATATATGGTTTGTAAATATTTTTATTTTGTTGCATTGCTTCTCCATATTATTTGAGAGTAATGCAGGCCATAGACGGGGAGAAAACGATCCGAAAATTCGTCCAAAAAAAATAGTAGAGTTTCGGATCATTAGTGGCTGAATTGGTTGGCCGGTTTTCTTGATTTTGACACTTTTTTTTATCGGTCATGTTGGAAGAAAGAATGGCCGATTTTCGCGGCAATGATGGGCAAATCGGCCGATCTTTTTACCGATTAAAAAATGCACATGAGCCATGACCAAAGAAAAAGGAGAAGCACATCTGTATCTATTTGTATCCATTTCGGATACAGATGTTTCTATTCGGATACAAACAGATACGTTTGCAACCGCAATACTTATAAATGTCAAATCTAATAGCAGTGTCCCTGCAGAGAGCTCCGCTATTATATTTGACATTTAAACGTATATTGCTTGCAACATTGTATCTATTTGTACCCGAATAGAAACATCTGTATCCAAAATGGATACAAATAGATACAATGTTGCAACTTTGCTATACTTTTAAATGTTAAACTATTAAAAGATGTCCTGAGGAAGTCACGTGATATTAACCGTGACGTAACGCGTAGATACGCCAGTGGGAGGAGCCTAACGGACCGCGCGGTGACGTCATTTCCGGCGTCGGCGCCATCTTGGTCCACCTTTCGTAGTGAGGATCCACACTAGCCAGTACACCCATGGTGTGGTGCAAATGTGCATGTGTAACCACGCAAATGTGAGTAGTACCATCAGTGTGGCATTATTAAAGGCTTTGCAGTTTTACACTATGTGGATCTCTTTTTTTCCTATATGGGGTGTTTATGGAGTAAGTGCGTATTAAACATCTGGAGGCACCTAGTGGAAATCAGTACCCATCAGAGGAGGAAGTACCACCATCATTGTTGAAACAGCCCCACAGTTGAAACAACCCGTGTCCCGTCCCCTATTATTCCTCCCTCTTCCCCTAAACCGGCCTCTGCCTCGGTTATTGAAACCACCCCTTCTCTTGTACGGCGGGTTTGTGTGGGGAAAAGGATCTTCCTGAAAATGAGTGGCCACCGCCTTGGGTATCTCTAGACATCCGGCAGCATCTTTCTCAGTCAATTTCAATTGAAATTGTTCTCTGGTACAAGTGGGCCATTCAGAAATCATCTGTTTTACAGTTAACATGACACTGGGTTTTAGATTGGACAGGAAAGTCTGAATCAGTAGACTATGCATGGTGTCTTGCAATGTCAGTCCTGCCTCTTGTGTCCATGTCTCATTAAATTTTTTCCAAAAATCTAACACAGTTTCTCCTGA